TCCTGGCAGTCTCTTCTTGGGAAAAGAAAGGTGGGCAGATAACATACAAGAATCCCCAGCCCCCACAGCATGAACGTGAGCCAAGTCCCTTGGAGACATAGTGAGATGCAGGGCTTGACCAAGATGCAGACCAGCAGTTTCACTTGCTGCTCAGCTCTGTGTTGGGGGGGTTATAGAGACAGATCTGAGCTCTTCCAGGAAGCCTACTCAGGCTGAACTGGAGGTGATGGACGTAAGCTGCACCAGGGACTTTCATATTGGGTATTAGAGAAAATGCTTCCCCTCGAGTGTAACAAAGGTCTGAGTCCCAGAGAAGCTACAGCATCTCCATCATCATCATCAGAAATGCTCAACCCTGGACCACTTAAGTCCTGAACAATCCAGTCTAGATGGCTCTGCTTTAATCAGGCATGGACCAGAAATGTCCAGGATCCCCTTCCCACCTCTGCTACCCAGAGAGGCTGCGGAGATACTGGAGGGTGAAAAGGGCTCATTTCTTGAAGTGTGCTAGCTGACTCTGAGCTCAAATTTGGTCCAGGAAATGGCTTGCTTGGAAACTCTGCGAGCAAGTTTGCTGGCCATAGAACAGTTATCGAAAGTGTTTGTCTGTTTTCCAACACTTGTGTGTTGCAGCTGGGAGCTATGGAGTCTCCCCAAGCCAAGGCCTCTTGGCAAGCTAAGACTGGCAGTGGCTGGGTGTTGGGCCCCTCTGTAGAGGGTGACAACCACGTCTAGTTCACTAGACCTAGTGCTCCTGGTGGACTTGGCTGCAGGTTACTGCCACTCTGAACCCTTGCTGCCTACGTGACCAGATGGCCTGACCACAGCCTGGGACTGGTGGCAGTGCTGGGAGGAGCTGTTATAGGCTGTGTCAGGATGTGCCTTGCCTTCTCCCCCTTGCAGCTGCATGTCCCTCTTGTCACCCCCCAGTCCTCTCTCCGATGTGCACACAACCCTTTTGAAGCATGAGTGTTGCAGCACTGCTGCGTATGTGCTCTCAAACTTGCAAGTGACCTCTCACATTTGCTGTTTGCTGTTCTTTTGTTCCATTTCTCCCATCCATCCTGTTCCTGTGGACTTTCCTATCTGCTGTCCTTCGTTTCAGGCAGGACCACTGCACCCTTTGGGCTGATTCCTGCAGCCACTTGCAGTGGTCTAGCCAAGCAGAATCTCAGTGATGCCATAACTAGAAAACAGAGATGCCAAGGATTTTTTGGGTAACATCCTTGTTCTGGCAGCTTTATTCATGCAGGTATCTTGTGTACTGGGAGGGAACACCATGGCTGCAGTGAGCTGTTCAGTGATCAGTGTCAGGATTGGGTTATCTTCTTTATCCCAACACATCCTGGAGGCTTGAGTACCTGTTTGCTGTGCAGTCGAGACCTGGTGACTACAGGGAAGCACCCAAATGGAAAGTCATCAAAGCTAGGACAAACTCCAGACCCAAACAGTGCTGAGTGACAGGGGTTGGGATTGTGTATTTTTGGAAGTGATGTCATGAAAATGTTCTGTATTCTTGGGGATAGGACAGATGTTGGCCAAACTAATTAGAAACAGCAAGCTGAGCAAATACAGTCCTAGCCAAAGCCCCTACAGAAGAATGAGAGGACTTGGGCAGTTGGCAGAGGTGGGATTTAATTGCCTCAGCCCAAATTGAAGGAACACCTTAAAGATGTGATTATCCAGGGCCAGGAAAAACAGCATGGCTCCATCAGAGCAAAGGTTCACCTAGTGGGCCACCTTCTGTGGCCAAAATTGAACATTTACTGAACAGTGTAAGAGAAGAGCAAGCACAGGTGTATGTTAGTCCCAATAACAACTCCCTAAAGCATTAAGACCTCCAAACCAGGCATTTCCAGCAGTCCTTGATGTTTTTTCTTGCCAGAAAGTTATCCAAGTTCCCCTTGCACCCATGTATACTTTGAGCACCCCTGATCAGTGAATGCACAGATCTACTGTGTGGCTTTTTGGTTTACTCCAATTTCATCTGTTGCCCTGTGGATCTTCTGCAGCCCTGTGTCAAGCACCTGTGGGGGAACTAAGGGGCCTTAATGGTCCTAAGCAGCCTCAACTGGGACTTCCACACACTCTTGAGCTGCATTTAAGCTCAAGCCTGGGCCTTCAGGTTTGCGTTGAGCAACTTTGTAGGCGTTCTTGGTTTTGTCTTGTACATAAGGCACATAGGCCTTATTATCCAGTCCTGATTTTGGCTCTCTCTCATGACTATGTAGATACTGGACTTGGTTCATTGTTTGCTCTGTGGATGGACCCTGATACCGACACTTGTCTCAGTTCTGCTCAGGTACTGCGGAACCTGTTCATGAGGGCATGGGGTCACCCTTAGTGTCTAGTCACCCCTCGTGGAGCAGCCCCATTCATGCACCCCTCTGCTGACCAAAAAAGCGCATTAAGAAAGGCCCTAACCTAGTTTTACATGTGCAGCAGTACCACCATTCTAATTGTTACTGCTCATAGAAGAGATCTGTCTGTTAAAAAAAGAGCAGCTATCTGTACTCAGCAGCAGTCAAAAAAAAGCAGCTGAAGTATCAGTAGTAGGAAGATCGGGAACAGGATGGAAACCATGAAACCCCAGCACCCAGTGAAGAGGGTGTTTAATAGTTTCCCAGTTGAAATATGGATGAAGAGCTGGAAAAGGATGAAGAAGGGCTCGTTGCAATGGCCTAGAGGAGGATTGAAAAGGGGGCAAGGAGGGTTGGGGTGATGCTGGGGGCATCTGGCAGCTGGACCCATGCTAAAGCGGAGCCGTTAGGCAACTTGTCCGGAAGGAACCTTGTGAGTAATCAGGTTAAGAGGCTTTTATGGCATAGTGTTAAGTGCTGTGCCTGAAGCTGTTTAAGAAGAGGGTTAGAAATGGGAATTTTATGACTGGGGGGTTGTAAATGAGAATAGCCCTGAAGATAAAATGGGACTGTCAAGTGGTTGAAGACCTGCTTTAAGCTGCTTTCATTGTCACTGCCTGCTGGTTTGGTTAGGGAGGGCGTGCTGGTAACTTGTGTCCTGTGATGGTGGCTTGGGGACACAGTTTGGCTCTAGAGCGTGCATCTGACTGCCCTGGGTGAGAGATTGGCATCCCTGGAAGCTGAGGCAGGCTCTGGTCCTATTCAGAGAATAAGCAGGACAAGTATCTTGGAAAACATCCCCAAGATGAGGCCAGGGAGGGAAAAGATGGCAACAGAAGGGATGAGCCAGCTCTCATCTCTTGCCTGTGTAGACCCTCCCGCAGCTTGGGGAGCAAAAGGCCTCCACATGGCCTGCCATCAGAAGGCCCAGGGAGAGGAAGGGAGTGTGTAGCCATCTCATGAACAAGAGAAAACCAAATTCTGGTAGCCTGCAATGGTTGTACAGTTGTGCTAGGCACGCAGACTGGCCTGGCTCTGGCTGTCAGATCTATGTGTTTATTGTTCCCAGTCTAACTGGTGCCTCAAGCCATGCAGAGGGTCTTGCTGATCTTTTCTCAGTCTGGCATGACATAGAAGGGCCTCAGTCTCACCTGTGCTAGGTGTAGTTTGTGCTCAGCTTGAAGGGAAGGTGGCCAGGGCATGTGATGGAGGCATGTGAGTTCCAGCAGCCCTGCTGGGAGCTAAAAATGGCATGTGTGCTCACTGGAGGAGCATGGCTGACAGGGAGGAGGGGGAGGCGGTGGTGGCAGTGAGGGGCGTGTTTAGTTTTGCAGTTACTCCCTTGCTCTGTAGAAGGTTGGCCCTGGGCTGTGGGGAGACAGCTGTGAAGGAAGACTGGTGGCAAGCGTGCATGTCCTCTGAGTGATGAGGCAGATATGGAAAAGGCTTGTGCAAGTTGCAGAACCTTCCGTGGGGTGCCCAGGAGACAAGATGGGCCTGTGGCAGGGCTGGTGCTGTCACAGGTGAGGTCTTGCCCTGGGGTGCAGTTCCTGTTTGTAGGACAGGGTGTGAGAGAGCCCTTTCCTCAGCCAAGGATGTGACTTTGTTCTCACAACTTTGAGCTCTGGGGCTGTGGTCCCTCCTGCAGCTTTGCTGACCCACAGGCAGCCTGCCTTGCACACAGTTGTCCTGGCTATGTGGGCTGTCCCTCCTGTGGAGGTCCTGGGTCACACCTGGGCAGAGGAGGTGACCTGTGCCACCTGCTAGGAGCCCTCTGATCTACAGAGCAGGGGTGGGCAGGGGCTGCCATCTGTGCTGGGGCCTGCCCGGCCATCGTCCCAAGTGTACAAAGTGGTCTGTCGTACCCGTGGATGGCTGTCGTACATCCTCATCCTCACCTGTGGATTTGAAGGCAGCTGTGGCCCATCCTGATAAATCAAGACCCTTTCTCTTTGGACTAGTGATCAACCCGTGCTTGGGCAATGTATATTTCAGACATATCTGCTCAGTCCTGTGTCCTGCACACCCCTGAGCACCCACGTTGCCCACAGATCCCTCCCACTGCCTCTGCAGCCAGAGAGAGACAAGGGGGACAGCACTTTGTCCCTTGCAGGGTCTGAGAGCAGCCGGGGTGGAGAGCTGCCGCGAGCAACAGCTAGTGGCATTACTTACAGGCAGGCAGGATGGTGCGGAGCCCCTCCTGGCTAGATCCTGAGGATTTCGAGGTAATCTTTGAGCCACGTGGTGTGTCCCCTACGAGGAACCGACTGCCTGGAGCTGGCGGTAGGAACAGAGGGCGAGGGGAGGGCTGGCAGCGCGGGCGTCTAAGCCCTCGCTTCTCCGCCCTGCCGCAGGACGGCCGGGCCGGGCCGAACCGACCCCAGCTGGGCTGGGCCGGGCCCAACTCCGCCCGCCCGGCCGTGCGGTCCCTTTAAGAGCCTCCCTGCGTGTTTCAACCCGGGGGTGACGCGAGCGCGGTCGGGCCGTATGCAAATCAAACGCCAGCCGCCGGCCAATGGGCGCCGGTGCTCGGCAGCCGCTAGCCAATGGGACGGCGCCTCCCGGCGGGGCGCCGGCTCGCCCCATATAAGGAGCACCTTCGCCATAAAAGGCAACATTGTATCGCTTTATATGGGGGCGGCGCGGCGCGGCGGGGGCGGCGGCGGAGCGGGGCCGTGAGCGCGGAGCGCGGCGGGGCCATGGCGGGGCCGGCTTGACCCGGCCCGACCCGACCCGCGCTCGCCGCCGCGATGTTGCCGAGCCAGGCCGGGGCTGGGAACGGCGCCGCCGCCGCGCTGGCCCGCAGCTCCGGGCTGGGCCGGTCGCCGGTGCCGCGTGGGGCGAACGGCGGCGGGGCGGCGGCGGGGGCGCCCGGGGGCCGCCTGGAGCGGGAGGCGCTGTACAGTGGCAGCGAGGGCGACTCGGAGTCGGCCGAGGAGGAGGAGCTGGGCGGCGAGCGGCGCGGCGTGAAGCGTGGCCTGGCCGAGGCGGCAGCGGCGGTGGCGGCGGGGCCCGCGGCGGGAGCGGCGGCGGCGGCCGCCTACAGCGGCGGCGGGGGCGGTGGGGCCGTGAGCGGCGCCAAGCCTGGGAAGAAGACGCGGGGCCGGGTGAAGATCAAGATGGAGTTCATCGACAACAAGCTGCGGCGCTACACCACCTTCAGCAAGAGGAAGACCGGCATCATGAAGAAGGTGCGGCCCCGCGACTACGGCCGGCGAGGGGGTCGGCCTGGCCGGGGGTGTGGGCCGCGTCCCACCTGCCCGTGGGACCCCGGCCGAGCGCGGAGCGGGCCGTGCCCGGAAACGGCTGAGGCTTCCCGGTCCCGCGGACCGGAGGGGGGCGGCCCGGCACCAGCCCTTTCCGGGGGGCTGCGCGGGAGCCTCAGGCGGGGAGCTGGGCGGCCAGGAGCGGGAACCCCCGCGGCCGGGGGATGTGGGTGTGCCTGGCGGTCCACGGACGTCTCGTATGCCTAGGGAAGCCCATCCCGGTGCAGCGTCCACCTCTGGGCCGCTCCACGCTGTGAGCCGTCGTTGGGTGTTTGGTGGCACAGCTGGGCTGCCCTGCCCCGCAAAGGGGCCCGGCAGGGCTGGCTCCTCGGGCCGCGGAAGGGACTAACGCCACGTCTCGGCCGGTCCAGAGTGCGCTCCGTGGTTCCTGGTGTGCAAAGACAGATTAGAAACTTGGGGGAATTTGTGGGCGATTGGAAGCAGCTGGCTCGCCTGCATCCCTGGTGGTGCTCATAGCATCTTCTGAACAACTGGGCAGTGCTGCACCCCAGCTGAGTTGGGCATCATGCACCCTGGGAAGGTGGGAATGGGTATGGGGTTCCACTGGACACATCCTGGGTGTACGGGATGTAGAATTAGGACATCCTGTCTGTGGAAGCTTGTAGTGTGCAGTGATGGCATATGAAGAGTGTACTTCCTAGTCCACAGGTATTCACCTGGGGGATGGTGCAGTGCTGCTTGGGTGCAGCTGTGCTCAGGACTGTGAAGCCTGAGAGAGGAATCTGAGTCCTAGTCCGAATGGAGTGTCAGTAAGGGGAACAAGGTAGCAGAGACATTGTAACATTGTTACAATGTAACAGACAGTGTAGGCCCAGTAACATCTTTTCACAGAGGTGAGGAGGAGAGACATCCGGATGTGTCTGGACAGGAGAGTGGGATTTCCAGAATGGAGATATTTCATTGTCCCTGTGTTCTCAGACTGCTCTACTGAGGGGACCACTCTACCTGCGGCCTCTTGGCAGGCAGCATCACCTAAGGGCATGCTAAAGGGGGTGGAGACACAGCTCGAGACAGTTCAACCTGTACAGAACCAATCTTGGGTTGGTTTTAGAGGCCACAGCTCCTCTGGCATGACAGGAAGCCTGAGCTGGTGTGAGGAACAGGACAGCCATGCTGGGAGTGCAGGGACATGCAGTGACTCTTGTCCTGCACTTTATGTTGTCCCTGTCACCTCTTCTGACTTCCCTGACTCCCTCTTCTTCCCTTGTGCTGCTGGCAGGCCTACGAGCTTTCCACACTGACTGGCACTCAAGTCCTGCTGTTGGTGGCCAGCGAGACAGGCCATGTGTACACGTTTGCCACACGGAAGCTGCAGCCCATGATCACCAGTGAGACAGGGAAGGCGCTGATCCAAACATGCCTCAATTCCCCGGACTCACCCCCACGCTCGGACCCCACCACTGATCAGCGCATGAGTGCCACGGGCTTTGAGGAGACGGACCTCACCTACCAGGTGTCTGAGTCGGACAGCAGTGGGGAGACCAAGGTAATGTTCCTGGGCACCCAAGGAGGCATGGCCTGTGCTAGGAGCCCTGATCATCCCCAGGCCTCTTTAAATAGCAGCTTAGGGAGCTGGGGATGGATCCCCTTTTACTGCAGCTGCAGTGAGCTTGTGCTGTGTGCTCTTGGGATTGACTCCTTGGCTGACAACAGTGGTGCTTTGAAGAGGGAGGGAAGCGGGTGGCAGGTGTCCTGGTCCTGGCCTTTGCAGCATGGCTCCCCACTGGCCCAGCCCACCCCCCTGGCCAGCTTTCAGCACTGTTATCTCTCCCCAGGCGTCTCCATGCTCTCGCACTCATTGATAAAAATTTGATTCTGCCTCCATGGCCTTATAAGGCCTGGTTTCCCTCGCCAGAGTCCCTGGCAGGGCCCCTCACATTCCTTATAAGCTGCAGCTGTCTCTTGCTTTGGTGCTGTTTTGGAAGGGGGCAGGGAGGACATGGGGAATGGAAACATTTGGCTGGACAGGCCATTTCTGCTCCCGGCCTGTTGTCCTTGCAGACACTGGCCATTGCCTGCCTGTGTTACTTGTGGCCTTTTGCTCAGGGTGGCCTGCCCGTGGGTGTTGAGTCAGGCAATAGTACTTTTCTGCTGGAAGGGCTCTGTCTTATCCCTGCATTCCCTGATGCTGTTCCTCACAGCTGTTGCAAGAAAGCCGTCTCCTGTATCCCTCCTACTTCCTTTGCAGGCTGGTGCTTGGGTCCACAGGTGCTTGGAGGTGGGAGGTAGGGAAGTTTGTGGTGCAAGACTGGGATGACATGCTGAATTTGGAGTTGAGCCACAGCTTCCCAGATCTGTGTGCAGTGCCCTTGGGTGCTGTGAGTTAGAGCAGTCTTGTACTTGTGCCTGTGGCATGAGTACTGGGCTTGCTGCAGAAGTATCCTTCCAGGTGAACTGTGGCCTTGCTCTAGGAGCTCTCCAACCATTTATGTACAAGCCACAGCAGCATCCTTGCCATGCAGTAGCCGCTAAACATTAAGCAGATAGAACCTTGAGATCTCTGTGGAGTAATCACAAAGGTAGTGAGTGCAGCCCTGACATGTGCTCAGCATGTTGCCTGGGGCTTCAGGGGTGTTCAGCTGCCTGTTTTTATGCTATGACAGCACAACAGCTCTGGTCACAGTGCTGCTGGGTGCCCAGCAGCCCCCATGGTCACTTCCCCACATGTGTGCAGTGCTGCACCAAGCACAAGCTTATTGCTGCTGAGCCCTGAGAAACATCAGCAGTCCCAGAGATCCCTGGAAACAGAGGAGCTGTGGTGGGCCAAAGTGTTCCTGACTGGAGACTCTGTGCAGGAGCCCAGAAGAGTCCTTAGGAAGGCTTCCTTCTGATGAGAGCCCAACACCAGTCTGGGCTATCCCAGTCTGGCATGTCTTCCCTGAGTGCCTCTGATTCTCAGTGTGAACTGTGTCAGCCCTTTCCAGTAGGCAGAGGAGCCAGCTATCACCAGCAATCTCTCCCTTGTGCAGCCTATGTTTGTAAGGACTTGTGTCTCTTGGGCTTCTCCTGGATGAAAAGACAAGTTCTGTGAGCATTTTGTAATGAGACGAATTACTTGTGCCTGGAGTAATTTGGAGGTGCAGGAAGCACTGTGCGTGGCAGCTGATCTGTCCCTAGCATGGGACTTGTCCGCATCATATCCCTTTAGATTCTTCCTGAAAGTACTGCTAATTAGCCCCAAATGAACTGTTTTCTTGGGGTGCACTTACTCTGCAGAGATCTTCTTAACACAACTTCTCTTTTCCCACTTTCTGATGCAACACTGCAAGCTCCATCCCAGTGGTAATGCTTAGTGTGGGGTGCTTTGTGGCCACAGCCAGCATTTGATGTGAGGCTGGAGGAGCTCTATGGCCCTGTCTTCTGCTTGACGTTCTGATTAAACCCACCCTGACCTGCTGAGAGTTCCTGTCAAGGCAAGCCCTGGGGCTAGGGACAGTCCTACCCTGACCATCCCCAGTCCTACTGTGCCTTCTGCAGGCCTGGAAGTCTGCTTGGTGCTCTGGCAGAGATCAGCCTGATTCAGATAGACCAAGAAGTCCTTTGAGAATTAAGGGAGCCTGTCAGTGGGCAATGCTAGGTGGCTGGCATTTGCTGAGGGATGGGTGGTACACATGGCTGGGTTACACAGGTACCTCACTGGAGGAGGTGGCAGGAGATTCAGAGCCTGGACGATCGGGTCCAGCTGCATAGGATGCTCTGAGAGGCTTTCTGGCCTTTCTGTGTGAACTCTGCTTTCCAGATCTCTGTGTGGACAAAACCTGCTTGTGTTCAGCTGCTGCAGCAGAGTTGGGAAGACAATGCAGCCAGGCTGTTACCTGCAGTCAGCAGCCTGCTGGCATTCCTCTGTGCTACAGCCAGCAGCAGCTATGAGACTCTCCTGTTGTGCCAGACCCAAACTCTCTGCCACGGTGCTGAGCTCGGACCACAGCTGGGATCGGGGCATGCTGTATCCTTGTGATGATACTGTTGTGCACTGACCTGTCTCATCTTTTGCAGGCCCCAAAGGACACTGTCCGTGTGCAATCTCTTGGGTGTGGTTATGTGATCCACTCATTCTGTAAAGCAGTGATGTGGGTGCGGGCAGACATCTGCTGCTATGCTGCACCTCTCTGCTCTGTGCTTGTTCCCAGACACTGCTCTGCAAACTGAAGTTTGCACTGAGCTGTGACGAGGAATGGACATGCAGCTGGATCGGGAAGGGAATGGAGTTCAGGGCTGCTGTTTGCCTCAAGGCTTGTCCACGGCCCCTTGGGTAACCTCTGCTGAAGGTGATCCATGGCTTGGCTCCTATTGAAGGCTGGCCTCATGCATGTAGTCTGGGCTTTGCAGGGTGCTGGGGAAAGCCAAGGAGCCCAGGGTCACTGAGGCACCCCAGACAATCATGGGTATGTGGCAGCGGGTGTCCAATCCCAAAGCCTTTCCCAGCTCTCTTTCTGTATTGGGAGCTATTGATTCAGCTCAAGACAAACACAATAAAGATGGAAGGAATCTGAGTCTCCCCTGTGTCAGAACAGGGAGTGCAGAGATGGAGCATGCATGGTTCAAGCCTGCTGGCAACAACTCTCCAAGCACCTTTGCTGCTCTCATGATACTGAGGTTTGCCCTTATGCTTCTAGGGAGCCCTGGGAATCCTCTTGAGTAGAGTGCTGTGAACTTTTTGGGATGTCTCCTCAAGCCCTGAGAGAATGGAGTGCCCTGGCTGCCTGGGGACAATGTCTCAAGGGTGTACTGCTTTAAAGCTATAGCTGGGGATGTGGAACCCTGGCTTTTCCAACTGGAAACAGGATCTGTCCTGCCCCACTCTGCTCTGGCTCTTCAGTGGGCTGGGGAGAGCTCTGCCCTGTCACCCACATGGGGAGGGCACCCACAGCCTCCTGTGTCCCATGTGCGATGGCAGGAGTTTGTGGTTGAGCTAATGGAAAGTGCTTCTGCTGGGCTCTGCTCCGTTATCACGTGCCTCTTCTAATTTGGACTTCAGGCACTGCGGTGCCAAGGGTGTTACTCTCCTCCCTCCCCAGGCCCTGGGGCACGACTGAGTGCCTGGGATTGGATCCCCCTGTCCAAAATGGGCTGCCTTCCCTTTTTTAGCTGTTCGTTGAGCTGTGAATTCCTTGTTCCTGGCAGCCTGACAAGCTGGGAACAAGGCTTAGCACGTGGGAGAGCTGGGCCCACCAGCCTGCAGTGGGAGGGGTGGGAGTGTGGCAACCTTAACTCTTCCCAGGCGTACTGGCAGCTGTGGCAGGACATGGGGATGGCAGGTCCCTTGTGGCTTGTGACATGGTCTCCTGTGAAGCAGTGCATTCTTAGTGTGCTCTTGGCCAGATGAGCAGGGCGGGGAGGAGCCATGGGGACCCTGGGTATTTGAAAGGGGATTTGGCGGACAGAGGCATGTTAGGTGAAATATGACTGTTAGAGACAGCAAGGCTTGGTTGGTTTCTGCAGACCCAAGCCACATCCAGCTTCGTGCTTTGTGGCTGTGGAAACCAGGGTGTTATGTGCTCTGCAGCCTGGCACACGCATTCCTCCCTTGTTTCCAGACCTGGCAGACCAGTCTCCGAGGCTAGTGTTGGCCCAGCACAGGGCCCTTTCCCTGGTGCTCAGCTTCTCTGGCAATGCTGTCCTCAGGCATAGTGCTCTGATGCTCCTTGCAGGACTGTGCTGTGTGCTGGCTGTAGCTGACGCGTAGGGTCCTTTGGAAGCATTTGCCTTGTGCCCGTCTCCTGCTAGTAGATTTGCAAATAGGTGCTTTCTACTGCCTTTACTCCAGGAGATTTGTTGGGGCATTCCCCAGGGCCTGCCAAAGCTGCTGTCAGGTCTGGGTCTCCCTAGTGTCCAGGTTTGCCTTTGCTCACCTCTCCCTTGCTGCTTTCAGCATACAGCTGCCTTTAAGAGCCAGTTCTCGGCTTGTTCTTGGTTGTGTGTTTCCTGCCTCAAGGGAAGTGCTGTGTGTTCCTGACAGGAGGCAGTGTATGCCTTTACATCTGTCCCTGCAAGAACTGCTTTTACCTGTTGTGTGCCAAAAAGAGGCTATTCTCCTCTTAGATGTTTTAGGGACTCCTGGGGAGGGGAAGGGTTGCTTTTTCCCCTGATGCATTGCAGGGAAGGCTCTCAGGGGATCTGTGTGGCCCTGGGCTTGTATCCAGAGTTTATGCTGAGCACTCTCTAGCTCTCCTCATGCTGCATTATTGGGTACAGTTTCCTCATGTTTGTACAAGCAACTCTTCTCTGCTCTCCTCCATGTGCTGGCAGCAGGCTATTGAGGGTATGATTTGGCAAGGGGATGCAACCTACAGAGCCTGGTTTGGTGTCGTGGGCAGAAGTCTCATGGGCTGGTCTGAGTTTTCACCATCTCTTCTTTTGTAGGATGCACTGAAACCCGCATTCGCTGTCACCAACCTGCCAGGAACAACGTCCATCCAGACAGCCCCCACCACCTCAACCTCCATGCAGGTCAGCAGTGGCCCGTCATTCCCCATCACTAATTACCTGGCACCAGTGTCTGCCAGCATCAGCCCCAATGCCGTCACCAGTGCCAACGGGACAGTGCTGAAGACTACTGGAGCCAGTGCAGTGACGTCTGGGGGCCTCATGCCAATACCCACTGGCTTCACCCTCATGTCAGGTCAGTGCCTTTAGGGGCTGAGGGCTGCATCTGTCTGTCTTGGCACCTGGAGTATGTTGCTGTTCTCTCTGGGGAAGAGGAGGCCTAGTGGCAGAAGGGAAGCAGAGTGGGTTGTTGCTGTAAGGTGAACCTGGCTGAGATTCCTTGTCCAAACCCAGCCAGGCCAGTGGCTGGGGAAGGGTCATGTAGTGACCGTTTCCTTAGAGTGCTGCTAGCTGGCCCTGCTGCTGGGAGGTGGCAGGGAGCTGAGCTAGGACCCCAGGACAGCACCAAGAAGCCTGGAGGGAGTGAAAAGAGCTGGTGGTGACAAAGCCTTTCTTTCTCCCTCCTTTTGGCAGGTGCTTCCCTTTCTCCGGGGACCCCTACCATTCCTCTCACTCAGTTACAGCCGCACTCTCTGGCTCTTTCCAGCCAGCAGGGCCAGGTGGTCACAGGTACAGCTGGACAGCTGCAGCAGGCACAACAGACAGTCTTCCGCTTCCCTGCCAGAGCTGGAGGGCAGATCGTGTCGCTGACAGGTCAGCACTCGCTTCTCCTCCGCTTGCTAGAGGTGGGGGGATGGAGGTGTCTGTGCGGGTCCTGGTCCTGACCACACAGCTGACCACTGACTGAGGTGGGAGCACAGAGGAAGCAGAGCACAGAGTACCCTTGTTGTAGCTTCGGGGGAGAGATGGGAAGACAGGGTAGAGAATGCTTGATGTAGGCAGGAGTGGCATCCTGGGGGATACAGACCAAGGGAAGCAGTGGGTTTTCAGTCTTCTGCTCCAGGGTTTGGCCTGTGGCTAGCAAACACAGAGGAGACAGGTCTCCAGTGCAGCTGTGCTGAGGCTGAACTGTGGTGCTAGAATTGATGGAAGGATACTGCAGGGGCTCAGGTGCCCAGTGGCTACTTATTGAGTAGCAGCTACCCTGGCTTTTGTGTTGGGGTCTGCAGTCAGTCACTGAACCACAGTGATTAGGGGGAGACACAGAGCAGAGGAGTGGTGCTGCTGTGCTTCCTTGTGTACATTGTCCTTTGTAGGAATTTCTTCTTGTGCTGAGTCAAGGCTCTCCAGGTGTGGTGCTGTGGCTGGACATGCTCCTGGCTGGAGTTTCAGAACAGGGTTAGGCTCTCCTTTGTGGGGCAGCCATCATCTGAGGACCAGCATTGGTATGACAGTATTTCTTGTGTCCTACCTGTTTATACCCAAGTTGACGAGTCTGATAGCCTGGGTACTTTCTTGGAATGCTTAAGGCTCCCATGGGCCCTGGCAGACAGTATGATCCCATGCAAGGGGTCTGGATTTCCCTTGTGATCTGGAGGAACTAAGAGAATAACTGATGTATGTCTCTCTCGTTTGATGTGTGGGGAGATGCCCCGTCTGAGCAAGGTGGACAGTGATTCCTGCTCCCTGACATCCCTTACTCTTTCCTCTGAAGACAGGACCTCAGCCTTAGGGGAGCTTTCTATGCGAAGCTCTGTTTCTGGAGCTGAATTGCTTTGCAGTGAGTGGTCTGGGCCAGAGGCTGTGTGGCTGTGCCCCTGCACCTCTAGGATTCAATGCCTTGAGGCCACGTGTTCTGTAATGCCTGTGTAGGGCACTGTGCTGTCCTTGAGGTCACAAACTCTGAGATAGCAGTGGCCTAGAGCCCTGTGGAGGATCAAGCTGATCTCCAGACTGTGAAGGCAGCAGAGCCCAGCTGGTTTGCGCATTTAGGCTCTTGCGGTTCTGCTTGGTGCAGCGAGATGATCCTTGCAGAGCTGTCTGAGCATTGGAGAGGCATATGCTGGGCCCTCTCCTCCCAGCATATTCTGTACTGTGTCTTGGTGGGGCCAGGAATGGTGAGGAGGGTCCCAGATGTTCTTGAACTATGCCTGGAAGTTTGGCAAAAGCTGTTGTGGCCTGTTCTTTACTCTCTGGAGCTCTGTGGGCCAGCTACCTTCTTGGCCCGTGTGCCAGGAAAGAACACATTTTGGTTTCTGCCACATGCTGCTTTTGTCTAGCCTTCCCCAGTGCAGTGTCATGCTGTGGAACTGTATGCAGCCAGTGAAGGACTGCGGCGCTTTCACGTGGTCCAGAGTGCCTGTATCCCTGTGGAGCCACAGGCTCATGGGTTCTTCTTTCTCCCCAGGTGGTACCATGGCTCAGCAGGTCCCAGTCCAAGCGATCCAGGTGCACCAGGCACCGCAGCAAACGTCTCCCTCTAGTGACAGCAGCACTGACCTTACCCAGACCTCTTCCAGCGGAACAGGTAACCACCTTCTGTCTGCCTTCCTGACCACTGCTGATAACAACCCACACCAACAGACCTCGTGCTTGCTCCCTGCCCAGTTTCCTTCTTCAGACCAACTCTATCCCAGCCTTTCTGACAGTTTCCCAGGTGTCTTGATCCCTGTTGCCAGCTCCTGTGCTATGCCATATCTAGGTAGATGCTGCTGTGCCTAGGGCACCTTCCAAGGGATTTCAGAGCTTCTCCAGATACATCATTAACTCTTACAGCATGGAGCTGGGAACAGGTTACCCAGTTCTCAGATGGTTTCTTAGTGAGGCAGCATTGCTTCACAAGGCATTGGCTCACATCTGCTTGAGATTTTTACTGTCTATGCAGAGGACATCTCTTTGTTGGCAAATTCTGAGTTCAGGTGCCTGGATGCAGGCTGAATCTAGTTCAACAGCTTTATTAAAACTTCATCAGGGAACTTGAGATACAAGTTGAATTTAGTCCTGGGATGTTTGACTACTGTGCTTTTCTGCCCCTTCATACTCATGAAAGGAGAGGTTTGAGCTCTTCTACTTGATCTGTGGGACTTTTCCCCAAGAGCTTGGGAGACAAGATGGGTATCTTCATGCACCATGCCTCAGCACAGCATGGCTGAGAGGTGCTGAGCAGGCATGTGAGTGTGGCAGACCCCTTTCATGTGGCTCACATGTAGTCTGTCCTGGTGCCAGTGACCCTCCCAGCGACCATCATGACGTCGTCTGTGCCAACCACTGTGGGTGGCCACATGATGTACCCCAGCCCACACGCGGTGATGTATGCGCCCACATCTGGCCTTGCGGACGGTGGACTTGCAGTCCTCAACGCTTTCCCACAGGCGCCCTCAGCGATGCAGGTGTCCCACGGCCAGGTCCAGGATCAGGGTAAGAAGAGCTGTCTGGGTCAGTGCTCCCTTAAAGTGCACCCACATCCTGATTTTTCTCCTCTTGCATGTATTTATGCTGTATGTTAATTTCCAAGAATTTTCTTCTCAGCAGTCCTAGTGGCTGTACAAAGGCCTGGCAAGGGTGATGTGCTTGATGTGCACTTCTAGATCTTGCCATTCTCTTGTGCAAAGGATTGCTTGAACTCTTGCTGGGTAAAAAGGGTGAGGGATTCTGGGATGGGTGGCGTGTGGGGCAGGCAGCAGAGGGAGCTAGGAGACTCTGGAGAGGTTGTGTGGTTGCATGAGGGAACTAAACAGCATGAAGCCATGTGGTCAAGACTTGGATTGAGGACTTGTGCCTGCTTCTCCCAGCATCTGGAAAACTAATGCATGTGGCTTTCTTCTGGAATGCCTCTATGTATGCAGACTGGCAGCTTTGTCCTTGTGAAGCTCCATGGAGCTCAGAGAATGGATCCAAGTGGGCAGCACTGTTTAAGGGACAGTGTCATTTGTGCTTCTCTCTGTGGCAGGTGGCGTCCCCCAAGTGTTCCTGACAGCCCCATCAGGCACTGTTCAGATCCCAGTCTCAGCTGTCCAGCTTCACCAGGTAGGCACAGAGTAGTACTTGCAGGTGTTCAGGGGGTATTCTTGCTCTGCTCCTGCCTGCACATCCTTTGTGTACGTGGGCAGACCTGGCTGGGTAGGGTCAGTCCTCAAGGTCTGGGAAAGCTGTCAGTGCCACCCACCTTTGGGTGACGCAGTTTTGTCCTCCGTGGACAGGTGCCCAGGAGGGACAGTGCCCCCCTGGCTGCTGGCATGCATGGTGTCAGGGCATGCTGTTCCCCAGTCGGTCCTCCTCCCTTTTCTCTCTAGATGGCTGTCATCGGGCAGCAGAGCAGCAGTGGCAGCAGCCTGACGGAGCTGCAGGTGGTCAACTTGGACACCTCACACAGCGCCAAGAGTGACTGAGAGGCCTCTGCTGCCAGCCTTTTGTATCTGGCTTGTCGTGCCAGTGTTGGGGCTGGTGGCAATTCCTTCTCATACAGACTGCACCAGTTATTTATTGTTGCCTTTTCACGTTTCCTTCATCCACACATGCACACACACACGCACTCGCCCACCCCCACGCACACAGGCATGCGCGTGGGGCTGCAGAACCCACCTGGGGTGGAGCGGTGCTGGGGCCATGCAGGGCTTGGGGCATTTGGATGCTGCAATAGCTGTGCTTGTCTCACGCCAGCCAAAGAAATTTGTCTCTCGAGGGGAGGATTGCTCTGCACTGTAAATAAATACTGCGGGCCATTCCCAGCTGAAGGCTCTGGCTCCTTCTGGGCGCTCCGAGTCACCTTGCCCATGAGTGTTTACTCTGCGTGGGGCTCAGCTCAGTCTCGGAGCAATCACGCAGGCGCAGCTCAGAGCAGAGTGGGTTGAGGCTGTGCTGCTGGCCTCAGCAATGTGCCTTTGTGGGGTGACAGGTCCTGGCTGCAGCAACTCACCCTGGGCTCTGGACGGGAGAGAGGGGCCAGCTTGCATGTGCATCTCTAGGCCTGTGCGCCCTCCTTCTGGAGGGCAGGGCACAGCTGTTGGCACGTGGCCCTGTCCTCCTTGTATGCACTACAGTGAGCCCTCTGCCCTTAGTGCCTCCTCCCTGGGCTGCCTGGCAGATCTTCAGCCTGATTGGCCCAGCCCCAGTGGCTGCCCTTGCACAGCTGAGGTGGTCTGTAGATGTCCAGGAACACAATGATGCCCTGGTGAACTCCTCAGGGGCTCTGTGCTCTGCTCAGCCCCACACTCTCAGCCCTCGCCCTGCTTGTGGACTCCGTACACCCAGGGGAACGTGGCTGGGTCCTTCTTACATCCCCCTGCAGCTCCAGCCGGCGTGTTCTAAATTTCTGTGTCTGATGCAAGGTGGAGAAACAACTCAAATGTCAAAGGGAAGAGCCCATGGGGCATTGAGCTGCTGGGCAGGTGCCAGGCTCTTCCTCTGAGCATCAGGGTGATCTGCAGGCCATCCTGGGCTGTGGAGGAACAGCTGTGATGCCTGTACAGGCTCAGCAAGGCTGGAGGGAGAAGGGCTGGAGCATGCTTGGTCCTGCATGGGAGTTGCTGTGAATGGCTCTGCTACCTAGCCCTGTCCCTGGAGGGAGAGTGAGCAAGTGAGAGAAGCTGCTGAATCCTTAGGAGAAGAAGCAGCTACTGTAACTTTTTTTTTTTTTTAAGTTAAAGACAAAAGAAGCCTTGGAGGAAAAAAAAAAAAAAGAAAATTACTTTATTTTTCTAAGTGTTAAACTCAGTATTTATGTAATTCTTTAAGGAATAAAAGTTTGGCTCCTGTACAGTTTTAATGGGGTTTGTACCAGGGGGATGGGAGAGGGGTGGGTGGGTGGGCATGGAGGCAGGAAAGGGGCCTTGCTTTTGAGTTTGTATTGTAACCTTGGACATGTTCCCTCAGCATTAGCGTTTAAGCCACACTCTTCATCCACCAGCATGTGCCAGGGATCAAGCTCAACTGAGTGGGATGCTTGTTTCCCACTTATCTATACTGAGGACTCATCATTCTAGGCTCAATGGGCAGAAAGTGAGTGAAGCAGTGGCTAGTTTCTAGAAGTGGGAAACCCATTCCTCAGGAGCAGGGGATTTGTAGCGTGCATGGGAGCCAGAGCTGAGCTGGGTTTTCTGATGATCACCCTGTTCACTTCTGGTCCAGGGACCTGCAGCTGTTCTGTCACTGCTCTTGGTGTGCAGCAGTGCTGCCTGTGACTGTCTAAGGGATTTAGGCATCCCCACTGTTCCCTGGGTGTGGTGAGTGACCAGCAGTGACTAATCCCTGTTCTCCCTGCTTGCTGTGCGGGTGGCATCTTCTGAACCCCTAGCTGAAGATCTGGGCTGTAGATCCCCCTCTACAGCCTTTCTGCAGTGCACAGATATGGACAGGTTCCCTCCAAGCTCCCTGTACAAAGAATTCCCAGAAGGGTCTTTCAGCCCTTGGTCTGTTAACAGCCTGGGAAGGGCTTGTGGAGAGTTGGTGAGTGACATTGCATGCTGCCTCCCCTTAGTATCCTTGCTCTAAGAGTGATGCATACACTGCAGCTCAGAGCATATGGGAGTGCTAAGCCATGTCCCTTTGCTAGGTGTATGAAAACTGCTCAGTAATGCTTCCAAAGCAATCTGGGTACCTAGAAGTTCATCCAGGGAGAAGTGTGGGTTTGGGGTTTGCGTTGTCCTTTGCCCCAGCACGTCAGTGTGGCCTGGCTTTGCTCTGCTTTGCTTGTGCTAGCACTATGGAGCAGAGCTGTTGGGCCAGAATGGCAGGAGAGCCCCCGCTGCTACAGGGTGTCTGACTGCATCCCCTCCCTGGCTCCCCAAAGGCAACTGCTGGTTAAACGCTAATGGTGTATTTTATTTAAGTGCAGACTTGTAAGAACACTTGTGTATCAGGGATGAAATGGCATTTATTGTGTGGTGACATTTTTAGTTAATTTTACTGGTTTGAGGGGTGTGTGTGTGCGCGTGCGTGTGCGTGTGTGTGTACGCATAAGTGTGTTTGGGATTATTATTTTTTTTCCCTCCAGTTTCCAGGGTTGTGTTTCTGGAAGGATGTGGAAGTAATCACAGTACTATGTACAGAGCTTTCTTTTGTATTAAAAAAAAATTACTCTTTCAATAAATGTTATCATTTTGTGCACAGATTTGGGATCTCGATCATTCTTTGCAGGAGGGGATGACACATACCTTAGGGGCAACGCATGGGGATCAAAGGCAGATCCTGCATCGGTCTGTTTACTGTCAAGGATGAGGGTCTGTCTGAGCCTGATGTGGCAAAGAGAGGTTCTTTGCAAAAGTCTCCATCCCTACTGCCTCCTGCACAGGTGAAACCCAACCACCTGGACTTCTACTCTGGGAGTCCCAGACCTAGTGCAGGACCAGAGGGGGCCTTTGGCTGACAGCAAGACTGTGAGGGCTGTCCTTTCTGAAAGCTCTGGAACAGTGTTGGTGGTAAGCAGGGCATGGTGTCAGTCAAGAGAAGTAAAAACCAGGAATGAGGAGGAATGGGGAATTTTGAAAAAGAATTGTTCTAAATCATGGGTGTTAATAGGGAGGAGCAGGGGGACTGTTAAATTCCCTGCAGAAAACTGCTATGAGAAGATACGGCAATATTCAAAATCCGAACTGGAGAGGCATGAAGTCAGGTAAAAGGCAGATGCCTAGAAGCCAGGTCAAGGCACATCGGGGCTCAGTAAAGTGTGTAAAGCTGTGAATGAAACCAAAAGGAAAGGGGCTCATTACAATCCTCAGGACTGCTGGGGCAACAGTATGCTAGCTAAAAATGCTGCTATCTAGCATCAGATCCTGGAGCAGATACCAGTATGGTGCAAGGAAAGCTTAGCACTGATAAAAGTCTGTGCAGTGGAGGCACAGCACTTTTCCTCACAGTGCTGTTTGGAGAAAATATGTCAGTGCAGCAGGAGAGAAGGTTGCACAGAAAGTGCTTAGGAGCAAAACACAGCTCAAATGGCTCTTACCCCATCAGGAAGTGAGGTGCTTCACTTTTACAGGTTACACCACAGCTAGCCCCATGTGCAGCATGCCTACACAGGTGTGTCTCGTGGTTCAGCACCACAAACCTCCTATCAGCACAAGCAATTCCATGTCACTTGTGCACAGGGGGCTGTCTGTGACATATGGAGCAAGATACCACAGATGTAATCTTTATTTTTAGGATAAATGACCTACTAAGCATAGAATCCAGACCATTGGAGCCAAGACATAAGCAGGCTGTGTGAATACCACAGAAAACCTCTCAGTGTCACAAACAAGATGTCTTGGTAGTGAATGGGGAAGGAAAATGACATGTTAATTGAGAACATGGAGATTTCAAGAGCATCCATGGGATTCTAGAAAGAGAGCATCAATAGCATCAGAAGAGATTACATGCACTAATGGTGAAAATCAAGAGCCTGGCTTGGAAACATGAACATTTACAGTCCACCACTGGTGCCCCAGCTTTAGAGGATGGTCTCCACAAACTGATGCAGTACTGCACTGCTTTATCCAGCCTACAGTTAATTGCCATTATATTGTTGGGATTAATTGCTGATTGCTATTGTAAAACGTGGAAATTGTCTGATCAGTTGCATTAGTTCTGAGGGTAGAAATTAATTTGGGCACATACATGAAGTTGCTCCAGCATCAAATAAGAAAGTAGAGTCTCATCTATTTAGCTGATTTTAATGTTTGTTTATAATTTAAAACAAATGTTAGCCACAATCCAGGTTTCTATCAGTCTGATGACTGCTGTGAGGCCTACCAAGGAAGGGAAATATGGATAAAGGATAAGAATTTAGATTTTACAGTGTTACACCAAAGGTGGAAAGGAACTAGAAACAGGACAAACTTGTGTGCAACAGGCTTCAATTGTCTCTCTAGCAACACTGAGAACAGGACAGTTTCAGAGGCCCAAACCTGCCAAGAGCCAGTACAGCTGTCACTGAAGCCGAACAGGGTGGATGCAGGGCTGGAACCACCCCAGGGCCACGGGCCTGATGTTGCTGTAATTTTTGATTAATGGTTATTATTACATTATTATTGCAATAATAATGATAGTGCTGACATGACATGCTTTTAGCCTACCTACCACCCATTCTGCTACAGCCCTTGATGAAGACGATTAACCACCAGAGAAATTGTACCAACGCACACTGCAACACATGTTATCAAAAAGCCTCTTGAGCTCTGGCAGGTGCAGTTTTCAGCTCCCATCTCCGTTTCTTCTCATTTCTAATATTAGCCAGGAGAATCAGAAGATACTCTGATCTTCCATGTTTTTCTGACTCTCACCACTGGCAGGGAGGGACAGCAGCCCTGTGACCCGTGGCTGTGTGGCCACAGACAGGCCCCTGCACTCCAGCTCCAGCTGCAGCTGCAGCTTGCATCCCCTTGCCCCAGAGGGACCCGGGAAGGGGAGGCAGCAGTGCCCTTGCGGCCAGGAAGGGCAGTGGTATCCTGAGGTGCATTAGGAAAAGCATTGCCAGCACGTTGAGAGGTGATCCTGCCCCTCTACTCAGCCCTGGTGAGGATCACCTGGAGAGCTGTGTCCAGTTCTGGCCTCCTCAGGACAAGAGACACGTTGATCCTGGAGTGGGTCCAGCAGAGGGCAACACAGAGGATTAGGGGACTGGAGCATCTGCCTTACGAGGACAGGCTGAGGGAGCTGGACCTGTTCGGCCTTGAGAAGAGACGACTGAGAGGGGACCTCATCAATGTCTATAGGTATCTGAAGGGAGGATGCCAAAAGGATGGAGGCAGGCTCTGCTCGGTGGTGCCGAGCAATAGGACAACAGGCAACAGAGAGAAACTGATGCACAGGAAGTTCCACCTGAACATGAGGAAGAACTTCCTTACTGTGCAGTGACCGTGCACTAGAACAGATTTTCCAGAGAGGTTGTGGAGTCTCCAAGAACTGTCTGGACACAATCCTGAGCCAGGTGCTGTAGGATGATCCTGCTAGAACAGGGAGGCTGGACTAGATGACCCGCTGTGGTCCCTTCCAGCCTGACCCGTTCTGAGATTCCGAGGGACGAGAGGCGCGTACCACGCAGCCTCCGCCGCTCCCTGTCCCTCGCCGCCTCCCGTAGTGCGGACCCGGAAGCGCGGCGGGTGGTGCTGCTGCTTCCGGTCCCTCCCGGTGGCGCCGGGGCAGCTCCCGCGGCGGAGCCTTCGAGTCTCGGCTGCGCCGCCGCCCCGAGTGCGCGGGGAGAGCCGAGCCGGGGACGAGACCTCTCGACGGGGCAGGCTCCTGAGGGGCCCCTTCCTTTTCCCCTTGCCGGGAGTCGGTCGGCCCCCCGCGCACCGAGGCCGGGCTCTGCCGTGCCCTGCCCGGCCTCGCTGCGGCTCCGGGGGCGGCGGCGCAGCGGTGAGCGAGGGGCCCGGACGGTGGGGCGCGGCTCGCTGGGGTGTCCGGAGCGGCCGAGGCACATCGGTGCGAAGGGCCCTGCCCGCGCCTGTGCGGACCCGCCGTCCCGGCGCGGTGGGAGGTTGGGCTGGGCTGGGCTGGGCTACTGGACGCCGGGCCGTGGTGCCTGGGGGACTCGGCATCACAGCTCTGACACAGAGTACAGCGCCTGTGTCACAGCGGTCTGACAGTTCGGCTGTGGGCACTGTGGCCTCCAGTGCACGTCATTCACACGTGGTGCAGCAATACTTCAGGTGCCCTAAACCCAAATTCTCCTCTTCCTAGCTACAAGTCCATTTGGGCCCCTTCTTCTGGGCTCTGCTTGAAAGAGGTTTTTTCATGCTAAATGGCATGATGTGGGAATGGGGTGAAGTTACCAAACTT